TATGGCTAGACCTAGGCTACTAAAGAAGTTTTCTGACCTCAACCAAAAATGAGGTCAACAGAGCTCGATCCTTACCTTCTGACACTCTCTCTTGAGATTGATCTTACCTTTCAATCCTCATTTTTGAATGAGTCCCTAACTTCTGATTCACTACTTTTGTGGTTGATCCTTACCTTGCGACACCATCTTTTGAGATTGATTCCTACCTTTCCATTCTCATTTTTGAATCGGTCCCTAACTTCTGATTCACTACTTTTAAGGTTGGTCCTTTCTTTCTGATGCTCTCTCTTGTGATTGATTCATAACTTCTGATTCTGGGATCAGTCCTTAACTTCTGATTCCTTTCCTTTTGGGTTCGATCCCTGACTGCCAACACTTTCCTAAAATTTATACCTAAATTTCAAATCTCACCCCTAGTCAGCACTTACACGCTGATTCTCATCTTCTATAAATACCTGAAATTTGAAAACTCAAAACCCACTCTCCAATCCCCAGCGATAGTTCCTACCTCTTGATCTCGATCAAATATTCACCTGCTATATTCCCCAGTGGAAACAACTGTCTCTTAAATTCTACACCCCTTATATATCTGTTGACTTAGGAGTTTGTATTGGTTTTTTTGATCCCATTGGTGAATGCCAATACGCGCGGTGTGTTTGCCCAACACACCACACCTATTGGGGGTCCATTTGTTGACCTCACTTTTGGTTGAGGTTTAGTCTTCCTCTTTAGTAACATAAGGTCTAGCCATAAAACTTTCATATTGGCTATTCTTAGAAAACTAGAGAAGAAACCCTCACAATTAGAAATTCTAAACCCCTCTTTACTCCACTTGAAGCTTTACATATTGATCCTAACCTCTAGCACTTAGTAGGTGGGATCACAATGAGGGAGGTCATGGAGAGTTCCCATAGAAATGTTGGACCTTAGGGTTGGCGCTGAGTGTTGGCCTAGAGCTAAGTAACTCACCAGCAATCACCTCACTCACAACCACTCACAAGCACAAACCAAAATTTCTTGACTTTGATCCCTTGATACTTTTGGGGATAATCATGTAGATGGTCCCCTAAACCCACTAGCCCTAGGCTAGGGTTTAGATAAGACCAGTACATAGAGGACCTATTTGGGGTTTCCATTGGTCTATAGCTTATTTTTGGTGGTCAACCCCCAATTTTACTAAAAATACCCAACTTAGCCTTTTGCTCCAAAACTGCCCCAAATTACCTAGATACCCTTGGGACCCTAAATTTGGCCAAAATTCTCAAATTTATCCAAAATGCTCAAATTTGTTAAAAAAATTATTTCAAACCTTTTTAAAACATACAAATTACCCAAAATCACAAAAAAATTTGCCAAACTACCAAAATGCCCCTCCTTAAACCAAAATTTCAAAAACAAATCCAAAAAAATCCCAAAAATTCCCAAAACCTTCCGAAAATTCCCAATTTCATTTTTTTCAATTACCACATGACCCAATTTGACCAACTTGATCATTTTGACCAAAACCCCTAAAATTGCCTTTAAAGGCCCAATTTCCCTAAATTTACCTCAAATGTCCATCAATTTGGGCCAAATCTCCCCAAATTTCAATTCTAAACTCGAATCCACCCTTCATATGACCAACTTAAACCAAATCTAAACCCAATTGGCCCATGATTTGAGCCCAATTTTGATTTAAATCAAACCCCCAATTTTGGCCACATGACCTAATCTCACCAAATTGAACATATAGCTTACTCAATTGGGCTCAATTTGAATCCTTAACTATTCATAACAATCTTAAACATCAAACGTGGTCTTAAATTGGCCTTGGTGAAGCCTCAATTTCATTTAATTTTAACCAAAATCCAAAAATACCCAATTTTGCCCCAATACGGCTATGTCTCCAAGGTCCACCAAATTGAATAACTTAGCCCTAAAATTGGCACCCAATTTATTTTGAAAACTCTTCATGGAATTCCTATTGACCATTGTAAAAAATAAATTTGGACTTAGCCCAAGCCTAGCTCAATCTAGAACCAAGTCTAGCCCAACATGCCCAAATTGACCAAATTTCAAAAATCCTCCAAATTGACCCTCCAATTGAACTCAAAATCATCTCAATCCATCACAAAAAATCTTCATTACAATCATTTACACAATTTTGATCAATCAATTGGGCTCAAGGTCATCCTAGCCCAAACCCAAGTTTTGATCATTTAAACCCACATTGGACCCATGCACTAAAGTTAGCCAAACCACCCCAATGACACCAAATTTATAACTCCACAGCCATTAGTTGGACCCTAGTGACTAGTATAAACTCCATAAAATCACTTAAACTAAGAAATGGACCAAAGGTCCCCTAAATTAAGGGATTTGGTTTCCAAAATTACTTAATCTTAAGATTTTTTTTGCCAAAACAAAGCCCAAACCCATTTAATTGCTGTGATATATTCTTCTGAGGTCCCTGAGCCCTCTGGCCACCTCCCCTAGCCTGACCGGTCGGGATAGTCACCGGAGAAGACAAAATTTAAAGGCCACCCCCTCTTAAACTTCACCTAATTCAAACCCAGAGGCCAGTCACCCAATTCAAATGTTAGGGCTGCTCTGCCCTCCACCTAAGCAAGCATTATCACCCCCCCAATTGACCATGATAGCAATCCAAAGCCCATTTTTATAAAAATCTCACCTCCACGGCCATGGAGGTAGTGCTGAAAAATTTCTTAGATAGACCCCTCCAAATTGTTCCAAAATACTCTTTGATACCTCCTTAGCTCAAGCCAACCTCTTTCCCCCCAGATTCCCACCGTGGGAGCTCAAATTTGAGCTCAAACTTCTATAAAAAACCAGGACAGAGCTCACCACACTTCCACATTCCATCAAACTTAAATTAAACTCACCCATACCTTCACCACAGTGAAAGAAGGAGAAGCCCATCAAATCCCCCTTCCACAGGAGACATCCGTTGAGGAGGAACCTCTTCAAGTTGAAGAAGTGTCACTGGAAAATTACCCACTCCTACGAGGGAGTGAATTTCATCCTTTGACAGATACCGATGACTATGAGAGTATCCGGACAATCACCGCCGCGATACCACCACTTCATGGACATGGTGAGGAGAGAGATAAGTTCACTTCTATCGCTCAAGTTAGTGCAGTATTCAGAAGGCTAGCTACCAAAGAAGGATGTTCGGTTAGCGAGTTACTTAAACAAGTGGGACATGCAATTTCCCCTCACATGAAGAAGAAAATTTTGAGGGATGTCAAGTCGACAGATAGTCTCATAAGACAACTTGAGTGCCACCTACTCGCATCCCCATTTGGTTTTGTTTAAGGAACAGAGTTGACACCGTAGTAATTACTACTAATTATACCGCTACTAAGACTATAGGTTGTCGACAGGTTAAGTCGAGACTGAGTCTGAAAATCTTACCTGTCACCCATTATGGAGACATTTCTACAATCCCAAAGGCAAAGACAAGACGATTACCTGGCACTGTAGTTTGTCTACACCATGGGGAGTGTACTTTCCCTCAATATACCAATGTTACTATTAAGAAACTCCATCCCGAGTACAAAAAAAAGGTATGGGTAACCAAGGTCGCTGCACCGATACAGTCCGGTGAGGAGACAAGAAAATGGAATGAAACCAGGGTCTAAAATATCTGACACATCGCAACAATAGGCAGCGAGATGGAGGAGCAAGTAGAGGATGTCCATCAGGGTCGTCCAGATCTTAAAGTGATCAAGGAATCAATAATTGAAGAAAAAGTTGAGAAACTCAAGATCGAGATTTCTGAGTTAGCTCGAGGACATGGAGTTTTTGTAGATAGCGACAATGAAAAT